GTGACAGTCTTCCCATCCTCCCCCCCCCCCCGTCTCAAATTGTCTGCCACAGTCCCACTATAAGTCGCTGATCGCCGCCATTACGAGTATAAAAAAAGAAAAATTACAGTATATATACTGGCATTGTAGATGCTATAACTTTCACGTAGACCGTTTCATTTACATGTATTGGGATTTTTTTTAGCAGACAGCAGAATACATTTGGGCCAAAATGTACGATGAAATTTGATTTTTAATTTTTTTAATTTTTTTACTGAACATGTTTTAATAGCAAAAAGTAAAAAAAAAAAAATATATATATATATATAATATACAGTGGGGATCGAAAGTTTGGGCACCCCAGCTAAAAATTTGTATTAATGTGCATAAAGAAGCCAAGGAAAGATGGAAAAATCTCCAAAAGGCATCAAATTACAGATTAGACATTCTTATAATATGTCAACAAAAGTTAGATTTTATTTCCATCATTTACACTTTCAAAATAACAGAAAACAAAAAATCTCGTCTGCAAAATTTTGGGCACCCTGCAGAGTTAATATCTTGTACTGCCCCCTTTGGCAAGTATCACAGCTTGTAAACGCTTTTTGTAGCCAGCCAAGAGTCTTTCAATTCTTGTTTGAGGTATCTTTGCCCATTCTTCCTTACAAAAGTCTTCCAGTTCTTTGAGATTTCTGGGCTGTCTGTCACGCACTGCTCTTTTAAGGTCTATCCATAGATTTTCCATTATGTTGAGGTCAGGAGATTGTGAAGGCCATGGCAAAACCTTCAGTTTACGCCTCTTGATGTAATCCCCCGTGGATTTCGAGGTGTGTTTAGGATCATTATCCATTTGTAGAAGCCATCCTCTCTTTAACTTCAGCTTTTTCACAGATGGCATCAAGTTACCATCCAAAATTTGCTGAAATTTTATTGAATCCATTTTTCCTCCTACTCGTGAGATGTTCCCTGTGCCACTGGCTGCAACACAACCCCAAAGCATGATTGATCCAACCCCATGCTTAACAGTTGGACAGAGGTTCTTTTCATTAAATTCTGTGCCCCTTCTTCTCCAAACGTACCTTTTGCTCATTCCGGCCAAAAAGTTCAATTTTAACCTCATCGGTCCACAGAACTTGTTTCCAAAATGCATCAGGCTTGTCTATATGTTCATTTGCAAAGTTCAAACGATGATTTTTGTGGTGAGGACGTAGAAGAGGTTTTCTTCTGATGACTCTTCCATGAAGACCATATTTGTACAAGTATCTCTTTATAGTGGAATAGTGTACCACAACTCCAGTGTCTGCCAGATCTTTCTGGATGGATCGTGCAGTCAAACGTGGGTTTTGAATTGTTTTTCTCACAATCCTGCGAGCTGTTCTGTCTGATATTTTTCTTGGTCATCCAGATGTTGCTTTACCTTCCACTGTTCCTGATGACTGCCATTTCTTAATTACATTCCGAACAGAGGATATTGACATCTGAAAACGCTTTGCTATCTACTTATAACCTTCTCCAGCTTTGTGAGCGTCAACTATTTTCAGTTTCAGTTTTCTAGACAACTGCTTAGAAGAACCCATGGTGCTGATTGTTGGGGCAAGGTCAGATGAGTCTGGGCATTTAAAACCTTTGAGCTTGACATCACCTGGTCTTCCCAGACGATGATTGAGAACAATCCATGACACTGGCAGGTCTCAGCTTGGCAAAGGGGGCAGCGCATGCTATAAATTCTGCAGGGTGCCCAAACTTTTGCAGACGCCATTTTTTTGTTTTCTGTTACTTTGAAAGTGTAAATGATGAAAATAAAATCTAACACTTGTTGACATATTATAAGAATGTCTAATCTGTAATTTGATGCCTTTTTGGAGATTTTTCCATCTTTCCTTGGCTTCTTTATGCACATTAATACAAATTTTTAGCTGGGGTGCCCAAACTTTCGATCCCCACTGTATGTATGTATATATATATATGTATATATATATTTTTTTTTTTTTTCAAATTGTCAGTCCTTTTTTTTTTTTTTTTTTTTTCTTTATAGCGCACAAAATAAGAAATGCAGAGGAGATTGAAAACCACCCAAAGCCAGTACATACAGTTCATTTGGGTGCAGTGTTGCAGGACCGCTCAATTGTCACTTAATGTAATGCATCGCTATATCACAAAAAATGCCTGATCAGGAAGGGGGGTAAATCCTCTGGAGCGCAAGTGGTTAAATTCCCCCAACAAGTACATGGCCCATTTTGCACGGGCGGACTCTGCCAATGTTTCCGCCTGCTCAGCAGAGGATCTATCTGCTGATCTGTGCTGGGCAGGACGATGACAGGTCCGTGTCCACTCCACTTGTGTAAGGTGGACATAAACACAGCTCACTGTCCTCTGGGCGGTCAGATGTAAACAAACCGCCTGTCCATTTACATCCGACTGTCATCCGATTCGGCCAGACAGAGGGGAACGTTGGATCCCCATTTGTCTGTTTTTAGCCGATTGCGTGTAAACTGACATCCGTCACTCCATAATTGGCATTGGATGGTCCGTTTGGGTCCGCCTGAAAAATGGATCTGATCGGTCAGCCTGTTTTAAAAAGGGCTCTAAATGGGCAGTCATGTGTATTAACATTTTTTCATGTACTAGCCGCTACATTTTTACTATGATTTAACTGGATTTGAATAAAAAGACATGTTTTTATAAACTATTGTAAATTTGTTGCCTAAAAAGTCCCATGAAAATTCAGTTTTGTCTGTTTTTGATGTAATGTTGAATGAAACTGCTAGCTAGGCGAGAATTACATCATGGGGGTTATTTACTAAAACTGGAAAGTGCAAAATCTGGTGCAGCTCTGCATAGAAACCAGTCAACTTCCAGGTTTTTTTTTTGTCAAAGCTTAATTGAACAAGGCTCCACATTCTGAGTGCTCCAGTTTTTGTAAATCTCCTCCTAGGAGTCTTCCATCCTGATTTTAAATAAGACACTACAGTAATATTTACAAAAGGAGTACAATAGGGCTCCTAATGATCCCCATCAGTCAGCACTGTGTTAAGCTTTAACCGCTTATCACCAGGTCTAAGTTTAGGTGTGGTGTTGCATACCTAAGCAAATGCCAACCTTTAGAAGTTGGTATTTGTGTAATCCTTTAAGGCCTGGCAGTGCAAGCATAGGATTTCACAAAAGAGCAATTATACAGTGCCTTGAAAAAGTATTCATACCCATTGCAATTTTCCACATTTTGTCATGTTACAACCAAAAATTTAAGTATATTTTATTGGGAATTTATGTGATAGACCAGCACAAAGTGGCACATAATTGTAAAGTGGAAGAAAAATTGTAAATGGTTTTCAAAATTTTTTACAAGTAAATATCTGAAAAGTGTGGCGTGCATTTGTGTTCAGCCTCCTTTACTTTGGTACCCCTAACTAAAATCTAGTGGAACCAATTGCCTTCAGAAGTCACCTAATTAGTAAGTAAAGTCTATCTGTGTATAAGTTAATCTCAGTATAAATACAGCTGTTCTGTGAAGCCCTCCAGAGGTTTGTTAGAGAACATTAGTGAACAAACAGCATTATGAAGGCCAAGGAACATGCCAGACAGGTCAGGGATAACATTGTGGAGAAGTTTACAGCAGGGTTAGGTCATAGAAAAAAATCACAAACTTTGAACATGTCACCGACCACAGTTCAATCCAGCGTCCGAAAACAGAGTATGGAAAAACTGCAAACCTACCAAGACTTGGCCGACCACCTAAACTGAGAGGCCGAGCAAGGAGAGCATTAGTCAGAGAAGCAGCCAAGAGGCCCATGGTCACTCTGGAGGAGCTGCAGAGATCCATCTCCGGTGGGAGAATCTGTCCACAGGACAATGATTAGTCATGCACACCACAAATCTGGCCTTTATGGAAGAGTGGCAAGAAGAAAGCCATTGTTGAAAGAAAGCCATAAGAAGTCCCGTTTGCAGTTTGCGAGAAACCATGTGGGGGACACAGAAAACATGGAAGAAGGTGCTCTGGTCAGATGAGACCAAAATTTAACTTTTTGGCCTAAAAGCAAAACGCTATGTGTGGCAGAAAACTAACACTGCACATCACCCTGAACACCCCATCCCCACCGTGAAATATGGTGGTGACAGCATCATGTTGTGGGGATGTCACTCACAGCGGCCCTTTACCATATGATCACCTGTGTCTGATCACATTGTAAACAGACTTGACGATTATCTGCAGTCTTTTACTCACGCGCTGTCACAGCATGACAAAGGGAGAGCAGTTAACCAGCAATTCTGTCAGGGAACATTTACACTGATAATTAGGGCAGCCCCATCAGTGCAGCCTTATCAGCGCACATCACTGAAGAAGAAAATTTACTTGCTTGCAGATTTTTATAACGAAAACTAAGAAAACATTTTTCAAACTCCTTTTTTGTTTTAGCAAAAAAAAAAAACGGTAGTGATTAAATGCCAGCAAAAGAAAGCTCTGTCAAAAAAAACAAACAAAAAAGGTAAACATTTTAATTTGGGTGCAATGTTGCATGGCTGTGCAACAGCACTGAAAGTTTAAAATTGGCCCGGGCAGGAAGGGGGTGAAAATACCCAGTAGGCAAGTGGGTAAACGATGGAATCTGGCTCAGAGAAATTAGTTTTATCTGATTAGCAATGGCTACAGATCCAAGTTAACGTTCCCTTTAAGCAGTGCTATTTATAGCTATTTTACAAGATGAAAACACTGATGATGAAAAATATTTTTATTTCTGTACACACCTTAGTACGCAAGCATTAGGTTGGAAAAGGTATGTGATACAAATATTTTTAGTATCTCCACTTTCCTCTGACAGTGATTCATATATAATAACCATTCTAGGGTTTTGATTCCAGGCATACGTGGTTTAGTCTGCTGAATGTGGTTTGTTTAAACTGGCATGTGAGTGAAAGTGCTGAATTGATATTAAACTCACATAAACAACTTCCCATAGGTTGAGATAATATAGACATGGATGGGGAGGAGGGAGCTACACTATATTGCCAAAAGAATTGAGGCACCCCTCCAAATCATTGGATTCAGGTGTTCCAATCACCTCCATGGCCACAGGTGTATAAAATGAAGCACCTAGGCATGCAGACTGCTTCTACAAACATTTGTGAAAGAATGGGTTGCTCTCAGGAACTCTGTAAAATTCATGCGTGGTACCGTGACAAGTTGCCACCTTTGCAATAAGTCCATCCATGAAATTTGCCTTGATACTAAATATTCCATGGTCAGCTCTTAGTGGTATTGTAATAAAGTGGAAGCAACTTGGAACAACAGCAACTCAGCCACTAAATAGTAGGCCAAGAGTGGGGTCAGCACATGCTGAAGCACACAGTGCACAGAAGTCGCCAACTGTCTGCAGAGTCAAAAGCGAAAGACCTCCAAACTTCATGTGACCTTTAGATTAGCACAACAATGCATAGAGAGCTTCATGTAACTGGTTTCCATGGCCAAGCAGCTGCATCCAAGCCTTACATCATCAAGTGCAAGGCAAAGCGTCAGATGCAGTGGTGTAAAGCACGCCGCCGCTGGACTCTAGAACCGTGGAGATGTGTTCTCTGGAGTGACGAATCACGCTTCTCTTTCTAGCAATCCGATGGACGTGTCTGGGTTTGGCAGTTGCCACGAGAATGGTACTTGCCTGACTGCATTGTGCCAAGTGTAAAATTTGGTGGAAGCGGGATTATGGTGTGGGTTTGATTTTCAGGGGTTGGTCTTTGCCCTTAGTTCCAGTGAAGGGAACTCTTAAAGATTTAGCATACCAAGACATTTTGGACAATTTCATGCTCCCAACTTTGTGAGAACAGTTTTAGGATGGCCCCTTCTTGTTACAACATCACTGCGCACCAGTATACGAAGCAAGGTCCATAAAGACATGGAAAAGTGAGTTTGGGGTGGAGGAACTTGACTGGTTTGCATAGTCCTGACTTCAACCTGATAGAACACCTTTGGGATGAATTAAGGCGGAGACTGTGAGCCAGGCCTTCTCGTGCGACATCAGTGTCTGACCTCACAAATGCGCTTCTGGCACAATGGTCAAACATTCCCATAGACACACTCCTGAACCTTGTGGACAGCTTTCCCAGAGAAGGTGAAGCTGTTAAAGTTGCAAAGGGTGGGCCAACTCAATATTGAACGCTACGGACTAAGATTGGGATGCCATTAACTGCTTCCCCCTCCTCCCTATAGCAGAACTACTGCTACAGAGCAGCAGGGCTGTGTAAAATCACGTGTATATACAGGTGAACTAAAAAAATTAGACTATCATGCACAAATTCATTTATTTCAGTAATGTAACTTAAAAGGTGAAACTAATATATGAGACTCATTACATGCAAAGCAAGATAGTTCAAGCTGTGATTTGTCATAATTGTGGTGATTATGGTTTACAGCTCGTGAAAACCCCAAATCCACAATCTCAGAAAATTAGAATATTGTGAAAAGGTGCAATATTCTAGGCTCAAAGTGTCCCACTCTAATCGGCTAATTAAGCCATAACACCTGAAAAAGGGTTCCTGAGCCTTTAAATGGTCTCTCAGTCTTGTTCAGTAGGAATCACAATCATGGGAAAGACTTCTGACCTGACAGTTGTGCAGAAAACCATCATTGACACCCTCCATAAGGAGGGAAAGCCTCAAAAGGTAATTGCAAAATAAGTTGGATGTTCCCAAAGTGCTGTATCAAAGCACATTAATAGAAAGTTATGTGGAAGGGAAAAGTGTGGAAGAAAAAGGCGCACAAGCAGCAGGGATGACCGCAGCCTGGAGAGGATTGCCAGGAAAAGGCCATTCAAAAGTGTTGGGGACTTTCACAAGGAGTGGACTGAGGCTGGAGTCAGTGCATCAAGAACCACCACACACAGACGGATCCTGGACATGTGCTTCAAATATCGTATTCCTCTTGTCAAGCCGCTCCTGAACAACAAACAACATCAGAAGCGTCTTACATGGGCTAAAGAAAAACAGACCTGGTCTTTCTCAGTGGTCCAAAGTCCTCTTTTCTGTTGAGAGCAACTTTTGCATCTCATTTGGAAACCAAGGACCCAGAGTATGGAGGAAGAATGGAGAGGCACACACTGCAAGATGCTTGAAGTCCAGTGTGAAGTTTCCACAGTCTGTGTTGATTTGGTGAGCCATGTCATCTGCTGGTGTTGGTCCACTGTGCTTCATTAAGTCCAGGGTCAACGCAGCCGTCTACCAGGAGATTTTGGAGCACTTCATGCTTCCTTCCGCAGACTAGCTTTATAGGGGATGCTTACTTTATTTTTCAGCAGGACTTGGCACCTGCCCACACTGCCAAAACCTGGTTCAATGACCGTGGGATTACTGCGCTTGATTGGCCAGCAAACTCGCCTGACCTGAACCCCATAGAGAATCTATGGGGCATTGCCAAGAGAAAGATGAAAGAAATGAGAACGAACAATGCAGAAGAGCTGAAGGCCGCTATTGAACCATCCTGGTCTTCCATAACACCTCAGCAGTGCCACAGGCTGATAGCTTCCATGCCACGCTGCATTGAGGCAGTAATTGCTGCAAAAGGGGCCCAAACCAAGTACTGAGTACATATGCATGCTTATAATTTTCAAAGGTCCGATATTCTATGTACAATCCTTGTTTTATTGATTGCATGTAATATTCTAATTTTCTGAGATTGTGGATTTGGGGTTTTCATGAGCTGTAAGCCATAATCATCACAATTATGACAAATCACAGCTTGAACTATCTTGCTTTGCATGTAATGAGTCTATCTCATATATTACTGAAATAAATTAACTTTTGCACGATACTCTAATTTTTAGAGTTTCACCTGTATACGTGATTTTGTGTTTCCGGGTAGAGGACGCACGCGCATTTCGACATTGGTGGCTATAGCTGTCGATCACTGTGCCCCGGTCAGAGATTCCCTGCTGACACCCGGCGATCACCGAGTAACAGTGAAAAGGGAGAGGTCTGTTTGTAAACAGATCTCTCCCCTGTCAGCACGAACAGGCTGCTTTGTATTGCTCTGTACAGCAGATCAATACAAAGCAGCTTGTCTCCCTAGTAAAACACAACACAGCACACAGTTAACCCTTTGATCTCCCCAGATGTTAACCCCTTCCTGCCCAGTGTCATTAGTACAGTGTCAGTGCTTTTTATTTGCACTGATCACTATTAGTGTCACTGGGGTTGTCAGTGGCAGTTGGCCGGTTCCCCTCCTGTGTCAGAGTGCCCGCTGCAGTCCCGCTTTAAGTCACTGATCACCTCCATTACTAGTATGCAATAAAAAAAATTCCAGTGTATATTTACCGCCATTTGTACACGCTATAACTTTCACGTAAACCAATTAATTTACACTTGTTGGGATTTTTTTTGGCAAAGACATGGAGCAGAAAACATTTTGGCCTAAATGTATGATGAAATTTGACTTTTTAAAAATTTTATTATTGTATATGTTTTATAGCAAAAAGTAAAGGATCTAAAAACAACCCTGATGTGTTTGCTTCTCAAAATGGTGTCATTTTGTGGGTAATTCCATTGTCCTGGTGCTTCAGGGCCTTCAAAAGTGTAATAGGTAGTCAAGATATTGATGTGTAATTTATGTCCCTTGAACACCTGATGGTGCTTCTTGCATGTTGGGCCTCTCTGTGGCCAGGCTGTGGAAAAGTTTCATACTCAGGAGTAGCAGAATGCGTTTTGGGGTGTAGTTGCAAGTTTGCTTGTGCTCTGTGTTATAAATAACCTGTTAATATGACAATTTTGGGAAAAAATGTTTTCGTTTTACAAACAATGGTGGGGAAAAAGTACAACTTCAAAAAACTCACCATGCCTCTTACTAAATACTTTGTAATTTCTGCTTTCCAAAAAGGGGTCATGTGGGTGAAATTTGTACTGTCTTGGCATGTTAGGGCTTCTGGAAATGAGATAGGCCTTCGGTATATCAGGCAAGATCAATTTTTAATGATTGGTACCATAGCTTGTAGACTCTATAGCTTTCACACAGACCAAATAATATACACTGATTTGGGTTATATTTGCCAAACAAATGTAGCATTATAAATTTTGGTCAAAATTAATGAAGAAAAATTACTTATTTGCAAAATTTTATAATAGAAACTAAGAAAAACACATTTTTTTTTTTCAAAATTTTCAGTCTTTTTTCATTTATAGTGCTAAAAACCCCCAGTGGTGATTAAACACCACCAAATGAAAGCTCTATTTGTGTGAAAAAAAATGACATAAATTTCATATAGTTAGTGTTGCATGACTGAGTAATTGTCATTCAAAGTGTGAGAGCTCTGAAAGCTAAAAATTGGCCTGGGCAGGAAGGGGGTATAACTGGCCAGTAGGTAAGTGGGTAAGGGACTCTGCCATGGAACAGAATTTCTGTGTAATGTGGATGTGACAGATACACATTTTATATACTACATACTAGCTCTAGGACAGTGAACGTGAACTTTTTTTATGGAGTTTCTGCCCTGGAACCAGTGTTCCTCAGGTTTTTTGCTTTGTAGTCCTTTTTTAAACTTTTTTTTTTTTTATTTTTTTATGATGCATGTTATTGATTTTTTGATTTGGAATTACATTGGAGTCAGTGGCATACCAATCAAACCCTAAACTAAATTTATTTCCACCCCCAATCTCAGACTATTCTATGTACTCTATAAAAGGAGAGAAGCTTATACTTGTTGTAAAGCTACTCTAGCCCGGTCACATGACTGGCTTCCAGCATCTGCTACAGTGCAGAGGAGGGACAGCCAACAAAGGAATGCCCATGGTCGCAGTAAACCTATGAGTGATGTCATTGTACATACTCTGCAGCTGTTGGTGCTGCTTCTCCTCTATACTGGAACTGGTGCTGGGACCTGATTATATGACTGGATCAGAGAGATTTCAGAATAAGTAAGTATAAACCTCTTTTCCTTTAAAGGGTTGATAGAAAAGGGGTGGAAGTCGATTTTGTCTTTGAGTATGACCCAAGTAATTCTGCTTTAAATGCCCCTTCATTTGACACATCCCTTTTCTTTATTAGCGTTCTGCATATTTAAAGGTAGAATGTGTGGGATGAATGAGAATTTGCTTAGGGACAGGTGAGAACACATGGCTTTTTAAACCTAGGGCATGTGCTGATTGTTCTCGGATTCTGTCATGGCATGATACAGCTTCTAAGTGTTAAAACTGGTGGGAAATTCACCCAGAGTAATTTAGGTATATTGGAGTTTTCTTATGGAGTGTTACTAGACACAGTTTGTTCCAGAAGAGGAGATTAGCATTCGATGTCGTAGACTGGCACCAGCATTTGTGGTTTTAACGGAGGGAAAATGATTAAAACTTGTAACATTCTAGGACTTATTGGGGTTTCAGGAGTCTAGCTGCTCCAGTTATCTTGGTATGTAGGTAATTGTAGCCGTATTAGTGCATTTGCGACAGGAACAATTGAGTACTGTCCGTGATACTTTTTTTTATTTGCACAGTAAACAGCAGTACAGTACTGCTTAGACCTGAAGAAGGGGACGTTCCTCGAAAGCTTGTCCTCAAAATTGTATGTTAGTGCAAATAAAAAAAGTATCACGGACAGTACTCAATTGTTCCGGTATGTAGGTAGAAACTCGTGCCTGCCTTCGTAGCAAAGCTTTACTAAAGTAGTTGGAAAGGCTAAGCTAAACAAGCCACCCAATAGTACTGC